ATTAAATATTATTATAATTTATTATAAAAATATATAAATATTATATAATAAAAAATATTCAATATAAAATATATCTCTGTTCTTGTAAAATATATTGAAGTTTCCTATAACCTAAGAAATGCATTATACTTTATCCTAGAGGAATTTTTTATTTTTTATTTTTTATTTTTTGGAAAAAATAAGAGCAATATGTTAGAAATCCATCCAATTTCATAAATTTAATATACTTAAATGAATAAAATAGACTATAATGTTACAGATTTATTGTTACGTTTTGAAATTAAATAAACCTTTCTAGCTTATATATAAGACTTGTAAATTATCCAAATATTTTATTTATTTGGAGAGAAACGTATATATATTAAGTACTGTATGTATCTAATATACTAACCTGACTGATTTCTTTATGGTTTTTTTTCTGCTTATTTTATTTATTTATTTTTCTCTTAAATATAATAAGAGAAAATTTATTTTTTACGCCACTTTTAGACAATTTAAACTACGTGAAAATAGTTCCAAAAGTCGAGTAACCCCCGAAAAAATAGCTGAAGAAACAGCAGTTTTTTTTTGTAAACTTTGTAAATAAAAAGACAAAAAAAAATGTTTTAGTTACGGTTAACTGACTTTTGGGCCACACTTTTATAAGTGTTAAAATAGAATACGTTAGTTAAATCCTATATAATTTACTTTGAATGTGTTTGAAATTCGTGTTGTTTCTCAATTTCTCTGGAATTGTTTACCTTTCAAACGTGTTATTTAATTTAAATTATATTTAATATAACTTTTGTAAATTCCTTTAAAGTATATAAGTTATTAGCATCATTCGTTAACATTGGTGTTCTAGGCTACTGCTAAGAATTTCCAAATCATTTACTGAAATTATCAGATAATTTTCGTGTCAAAGTATGAATAACTTATAGATAAATAAATACACTTAAAATGAATGATGTAAACAGATGATTATAAAGGATAGTTCAAAATTCAGTTAACCATGTTTTGTTTCGTGTGTTCAAGTTACACTTGTCGTAAGAATTACTAATAAAATTTATAACATGTTTACATGAAAACATTAGTAAAAACATATATTGAGTTAATTAAATGTAATTAAATCTTAACAATGAATAATTCTGCAATCAATTGCTATAGTATTTAAATACTTAATCATATTTTTTATGTCAGTTTCTGTCAATTTTGTCAAAGAGAGAGAGAGAGAGAGAGAGAAAAAAAAAACCCATTCTCTAAATTCAATTTATATTTAGAAGTGTGTACCTGGAACATATAGAATAAAACTGTATTTGTTTAATGATAAATAATACATGAAGCTTGATCTGAAAATCATATATAAAAAACACGTGATAATTGAATTTCTTTACGTTCTAAGCAACCGTTTTCACGTATTTTTTTAACGAGTTATGCCATTTTGTAACATCTTCTAATGATGTTTTTACGTGATAAATGTAAAAATAAACCGTAAATAAAAATTATCTGATTACTTAAGTTGAATTCTAACTAGTTTTTAATGGCATTTTTGTAGTTTTTTAG